AAAAAAAAAAAAAAAAAAAAAAAAAAAAAAAAAAAAAAAAAAAAAAAAAAAAAAAAAAAAAAAAAAAAAAAAAAAAAAAAAAAAAAAAAAAAAAAAAAAAAAAAAAAAAAAAAAAAAAAAAAAAAAAAAAAAAAAAAAAAAAAAAAAAAAAAAAAAAAAAAAAAAAAAAAAAAAAAAAAAAAAAAAAAAAAAAAAAAAAAAAAAAAAAAAAAAAAAAAAAAAAAAAAAAAAAAAAAAAAAAAAAAAAAAAAAAAAAAAAAAAAAAAAAAAAAAAAAAAAAAAAAAAAAAAAAAAAAAAAAAAAAAAAAAAAAAAAAAAAAAAAAAAAAAAAAAAAAAAAAAAAAAAAAAAAAAAAAAAAAAAAAAAAAAAAAAAAAAAAAAAAAAAAAAAAAAAAAAAAAAAAAAAAAAAAAAAAAAAAAAAAAAAAAAAAAAAAAAAAAAAAAAAAAAAAAAAAAAAAAAAAAAAAAAAAAAAAAAAAAAAAAAAAAAAAAAAAAAAAAAAAAAAAAAAAAAAAAAAAAAAAAAAAAAAAAAAAAAAAAAAAAAAAAAAAAAAAAAAAAAAAAAAAAAAAAAAAAAAAAAAAAAAAAAAAAAAAAAAAAAAAAAAAAAAAAAAAAAAAAAAAAAAAAAAAAAAAAAAAAAAAAAAAAAAAAAAAAAAAAAAAAAAAAAAAAAAAAAAAAAAAAAAAAAAAAAAAAAAAAAAAATAAAAAAAAAAAAAAAAAAAAAAAAAAAAAAAAAAAAAAAAAAAAAAAAAAAAAAAAAAAAAAAAAAAAAAAAAAAAAAAAAAAAAAAAAAAAAAAAAAAAAAAAAAAAAAAAAAAAAAAAAAAAAAAAAAAAAAAAAAAAAAAAAAAAAAAAAAAAAAAAAAAAAAAAAAAAAAAAAAAAAAAAAAAAAAAAAAAAAAAAAAAAAAAAAAAAAAAAAAAAAAAAAAAAAAAAAAAAAAAAAAAAAAAAAAAAAAAAAAAAAAAAAAAAAAAAAAAAAAAAAAAAAAAAAAAAAAAAAAAAAAAAAAAAAAAAAAAAAAAAAAAAAAAAAAAAAAAAAAAAAAAAAAAAAAAAAAAAAAAAAAAAAAAAAAAAAAAAAAAAAAAAAAAAAAAAAAAAAAAAAAAAAAAAAAAAAAAAAAAAAAAAAAAAAAAAAAAAAAAAAAAAAAAAAAAAAAAAAAAAAAAAAAAAAAAAAAAAAAAAAAAAAAAAAAAAAAAAAAAAAAAAAAAAAAAAAAAAAAAAAAAAAAAAAAAAAAAAAAAAAAAAAAAAAAAAAAAAAAAAAAAAAAAAAAAAAAAAAAAAAAAAAAAAAAAAAAAAAAAAAAAAAAAAAAAAAAAAAAAAAAAAAAAAAAAAAAAAAAAAAAAAAAAAAAAAAAAAAAAAAAAAAAAAAAAAAAAAAAAAAAAAAAAAAAAAAAAAAAAAAAAAAAAAAAAAAAAAAAAAAAAAAAAAAATAAAAAAAAAAAAAAAAAAAAAAAAAAAAAAAAAAAAAAAAAAAAAAAAAAAAAAAAAAAAAAAAAAAAAAAAAAAAAAAAAAAAAAAAAAAAAAAAAAAAAAAAAAAAAAAAAAAAAAAAAAAAAAAAAAAAAAAAAAAAAAAAAAAAAAAAAAAAAAAAAAAAAAAAAAAAAAAAAAAAAAAAAAAAAAAAAAAAAAAAAAAAAAAAAAAAAAAAAAAAAAAAAAAAAAAAAAACAAAAAAAAAAAAAAAAAAAAAAAAAAAAAAAAAAAAAAAAAAAAAAAAAAAAAAAAAAAAAAAAAAAAAAAAAAAAAAAAAAAAAAAAAAAAAAAAAAAAAAAAAAAAAAAAAAAAAAAAAAAAAAAAAAAAAAAAAAAAAAAAAAAAAAAAAAAAAAAAAAAAAAAAAAAAAAAAAAAAAAAAAAAAAAAAAAAAAAAAAAAATAAAAAAAAAAAAAAAAAAAAAAAAAAAAAAAAAAAAAAAAAAAAAAAAAAAAAAAAAAAAAAAAAAAAAAAAAAAAAAAAAAAAAAAAAAAAAAAAAAAAAAAAAAAAAAAAAAAAAAAAAAAAAAAAAAAAAAAAAAAAAAAAAAAAAAAAAAAAAAAAAAAAAAAAAAAAAAAAAAAAAAAAAAAAAAAAAAAAAAAAAAAAAAAAAAAAAAAAAAAAAAAAAAAAAAAAAAAAAAAAAAAAAAAAAAAAAAAAAAAAATAGTATAAAACCTGGAAAAAAAATTGGCAATTTCAAACCCCCCCCCAAAAAACAAAAAAAACCCAAAAAAAAAAAAAAAACCCCCAAAAAATATAACAACAATTTATGTAAAAACAAACCAATCAATTAACCAGGTGATGACAATACAGAAAAATCAAAAACCCAACCATAATAAAAATGGACCACCAAAAACCAACCCAAAACATTCAGTTTTTCAACAAAGTGCTGGAAACATACTGGCCAAAAAACCAAAACCCCCCCCAAAAAAAAAAACCTGTGAAAAAAATCTCAAAACAGCAAACAAAAAAAACCCTTCAAATCTGAAAAAAATAAACAACAACCATAAAATTTATTTTAAAATCCCCCAGATTTCCTCTCAAAAAACAACAAAATTATTATAAAATAATTAACCCATTAAAACAACTGATTTTATTTCTATATTGAACATTTCAAATCCCGTATTTTTGATCATGATCAAAACGCTTGACAAATATAAAAGTTTTTGTTATTTTAACCCCCCTTTATCTTACAAATACCCCCCCCTCGACAAAATAAAAACACATAAAATATAAAAATAAAATAAAAAAAAAAACCCTGAGAACCCAACCCACCGAAAAATGTAAGGCAAAAAATACCAAATTGGTATTTTTGGTAAAAAAAATTACAAAAAAAAACCAAAAAAAAAAATATATATCAAAAACTTTTATATAAAACCAAGTCCCTGATCAAAATAATCAGATTAGAAATAATCAGTATAGAAATAAAACCCCCCCCAACCCCCCAAACCCAATAAATTGTACTCATTGAGCCAAAAATCTGCAGATAAACCCAAAAAAAAAACCACCCCCAAACACACACACACACACACACCAACCCCCCTCAAGAAAACAAAGGCAACGTTGAGACAACACCCCAAAAAGGAATGGTTTTACAGGTGGAGGCCACTGACATTTTTTTTCCCTACTCATCTTTTCAGACTGTTTTCACTAGCTTTGCATTTGGCTAGGGTCAGTGTCACTACTGGTAGCATAAGGCAATACCTGGACCCTACAGAGGTTGCACAGGCAGTCCAACTCCTCCAGGATGGCACATCAATACGTGTCAGAAGGTTTGCTGTGTCTCCCAGGACAATCTCAAGAGCATGGAGGAGATTCCAGGAGACAGACAGTTACTCTAGGAGGGATGGACAGGGCCGTAGAAGGTCCTTAACCCATCAGCAGGACCAGTATCTGCTCCTTGTGCAAGAAGGAACAGGATGAGAACTGCTAGCAGTGTACAAAATGACCTCCAGCAAGCCAATGTTGTGAATGTCTCTGACCAAACAAAGACTTCGTGAGGAGGTGGCCTGAGCGCCTGGTCCATCCGACGCCGCCAGGTTGCACCTCAGACTGTCCAGGAGCTCAGTGATGCCCTGGTCCAGATCTGGGAGGAAATACCCCAGGACACCATCAGTCGTCTCATTAGGAGCATGCCCTGACATTGTCAGGCATGCAAACAAGCATGTGGGGACCAAACTACTGAGAACCATTTTGAGTTACTGCAATGAAATTTCAGTAAAATGGACTAGCCTGCTGCATAATTTTTTCTCTTTGATTTTCAGGGTGTCTTTGAATTCAGTCCTCTGTAGGTTGATAATTTTCATTTCCACCAAATGATGGGGCAACCTTACGCTCTTAACACATTACCCAGTCCATATCAGTATAGATATCCAGCATATTTTACCCCATTGAGATCCATTGATCTAATGTTTTTGAGTAGTGTGTGTGTAAATATATATATTTTTTTTATTTATTTTTTAACATACATACGTTTTTTTTTCCTTCTCATATTTGTTTCTCTGTACATTTTTTTGGATTTGTTTAACAGCCCTGAAGAAAGGGAAGTCTTTTCTCCCGAAATGCTTTGGTTTGATGTGCTTTCATTACTCTCAATAAATGCCTCTTAATCTACCATCAAAAGTGCATTCTTTTGGACATCAGGCACTTCTTGTTTTCTATTATTCTAAGCATACGTGTGGAAACGACCCCAAGGCCGTACCAGAAAGGCAGTAGCCCAAAGCCTTACAGGGTTTACCGCTAATATCCACCATTTGGTACAACTGACTGGAGGGACATCTCCCTACCCACCCTCGAACAGTGACTGATCTAGTCAGTCCAGCGCAGCCTTCAGCACAAACAATCTGAGAGACCTGGAGCAGTTGGTGAAAGAAGAGTGGACCAAAATTTCAGGTGAGAAGTGTAAGAAACTCATTGATGGTTACAGGAAGCAATTGATTTCAGTTGTTTTTTCCAAGGGGTTTGCTACCAAATATTAAATTGAGGGTGCCAATAATTTTGTCCAGTCCATTTTTGGGGGTTTGCATGGAAAGTATCAGATTTGGCTTTTTGTTTCTTCGCGTTTTTGTGTCATACCAATACAAATAAAAGAAACAAACATGAGAATACCTAAATATTTATAGTGTACGTGTATATTTATATTTAAATTGGTAATGTTTATCCTGTGGCATATTTGTACGTGTGGTTTTTCTGCACATATGCACAGACACCTATTAGGGGAACGAGACTTTACCACCTTTGCAGGAGCATGGGATCACCTTCACATGTGCAAATATGCTAAACGACTCTGCGAGGACCTGAAGACTGGACAGAGCCCTCTGCACATGAGCAGTAATGGCAGGGCCCACGTGGAAGGGGGTAGGGGGGGAGTGGAGCAAAGTGGGACTGAAATTCTTCTTCAGCATGATTGCAAGAACAAATTTAACATGGATTACTGTTCACTTGTTATTTCTGATTCCTGTTCTGCTTGAATACAATGTAGTTTTCAATTTCAAGACATACAAAAACAAATCAATAAATGAACAATTTAACATTCATTTGTGTCAATCAATCGTGTGCAGGAACCTGAGAATACCTGAACTGCACTTTTTCCAATGGCAGAAAGTATTTCCCTCAGCGTCTGATAGTGTTCCAGCATATGGTCTCCACATATAATATCCACCTAGAAGACAATTATACTTTGAAAAGCAAGCTTTATCATGGTTTATGTCTTTCATGTAACACTACATAAATTTTGAAGAATCCTGAACATAATTTAAAATACCCTCTGAACTGGATGAGCCTGTTAGACATACCTCTACATGAGAACCTGTGGACCACTACACTTGCATATGTAGTGGTGACTGATTTTGGTGAAAGGTCAGGTTGTATGTCTGTGATAAAAAATCAGCACAGATCAACTTTCTTTATTATTCTTTACTTTAGGAGGATAGTGTTTGTAAAAACCCATAAAGCACAACATATAAACAAATTGTGTTCATTCAATTTAGGAAACCCTTTAGTGAGGGAACAGTTATTCTTAAGTCATTTAACCACTTGCCTACCAGGCACTTTTTATCCCCTTCCTGCCCAGACCAATTTTCAGCTTTCAGAGCTGTTGCACTTTGAATGACCATTTCAAGGTCATGTGACACTGCAGCCAAAAAAAAGTTTTGTCTTTTTTTTTTTTTTTTTTTAGACATATAGAGCTTTCTTTTGGTGGTATTTTAATCACCACTGGGTTTTTATCTCTTGCTAAACAAATTAAAAAAAGACTGAAAATGTTGAAAAAAAAAAAAAAAAGTTTTAGTTTCTGCTATAAACTTTTGTAAACAAGTAATTTTTCTCCTGCACTTATGTGAGCTAATGAGGTTGCAATGATGGGCATTGATAGGCAGAACTGATGGGCATTGACAGGCGTCACTGGTGGGCATTAATAGGCATCACTGATGAGCACTGAAAGGCAGCACTCATACATGGCACAGATAGGAGGCACTGATTGGAAATGTTATGTGGCACTGAATGGCATGATAGGCAGCACTGACAGGCAGCTCTGATGGGCACTGATACGTGGCATTGATGTGCACTTGTAGGCACTGATATGTGGCATTGATCTCCCTGTGCCTGCGTGGGTTTCCTCCAGGTACTCCGGTTTTCTCCTACACTCCAAAGACATGCTGGTAGTGGAATTGGATCCTGTCTAAATTGTCCCTAGTATGTGTATGTATGAATGTGAGTTAGGGACCTTAGATTGTACGCTCCTTGAGGGTTAGGGACTGATATGAATGTAGAATATATATGTAAAGCACTGCGTAAATTGACGGCACTATATAAGTACCTGAAATAAATAGATTGATGGGCACTGACAGGTGGCACTGATGTTGGCTACAGTGATGATCAGTGTAGATGTCCCCTCTGAGAAATACAGCTTACCGGCTCTCCTCATGTGCTGTCAGCGTGAGGAAAGGACGATAACCGGCATTTCCTGTTTACATGCGATCAGCTGTGACTGGACACAGCAGATCACATGACAGAGCCTGCGTCATCGGCTCTTTACTGTGATCGGTGATCCTCTGTGTCCCAGGAACACAGTGCACCACCGATCGCTGCGCCCCCCGGGGGCGCACATGTGCAGGTAGAGTGGGAAGACATCACTGCTCCAGCACTATCTTGGCTGCAGCACCACTCCTCTCACTTTCTGGTCTCAGAGGAGACACTGTCTCCTCCTGCTGTCTGACTGTTGGCTCTTGATGCTGTCAGCCAAACTCCCATAAGGCGTGAACAGGGGTGTGGTTTACTGGTGTTGTGCATGTATATGAAGTACACATCTAGGCTTGAAGCACAAGCTCAGATATCTCCTTAGCACCCGGAGGAGCAGTTAGTGCTGGTGGGGGACTGCCAAAGAGGAGTTAAGGGACAAATGGAAGGAACACCAGACCAAAGGATAAGAGGGTTCAAATTCTATTAGTTTGTACTACAAAAAAAAACAAAAAAAACTGCCAAGATGTTTTGGGGGTCAGAGAAACTCCTCCATCAGGGTTTCAGTTAAAATAAAGACCTTGAATGGATTCAAAATTGAAGTGTTCCTGTGTGAATCTGTGCAGGGAAACCAATTGCTGGATCAGGAGAGTTAATCCTTTGTAAGTGCACAAAGCAGGTACATATAACATCTTATATATTTTAATTAAAATTAAAAAAAAACAGAAGAGAAAACAAACCGTCTTTAATATCACTTCAAGTATCAGTTAAACACTTGAACTGATGACAATTTCTTTTAAAATTATGTATGACTTTCATATCTTACATAATCTAATAACCTAAAAAAAATAATATGGTGTGATGAATCATTGGTGCAGTCCACAGGAAAGGGATGAATGAAAGCGAACATAAACCATATCTAAAAAAAAGGCACTGCATCCAAAGCCAATACAATAATAATAAATTAAAGCGAAACTCTAAAAAGATGCATTTTATTTTAAATATTGTACTAGCTAAACAAGCTAGTCTTAATAATATGTTTGTGTGTGTGGATAGTAGCTGCATAATATAAAATTCATACCTTACTGCAAACCTGCTCCTACACACAACACTGGATTTCCGGGGGCTGCGGAGTTGGGAAATGCACCTACCAAACTGAAGGGCTCCAGTTATATCCCCCCTCCCCCGCCCTCCTCAACTATTCAGAAAAAGCCTTGCTTTTTTCCCCACAGAATACAAGGTGGGGAAATGAAGAGGGAAGAGGAAGTGAAGGTATGCAACATGATCTCTCCTCTATTTACAGAGCGACCTGTATTTTGTGAAAAAAATACAAGACTTTTTGTGAATGAGCAAGGAGAAATACTATGCAGCAGCCATCCACACAATACACATATTATTAGGACTATCTCACTTAGATAGTACTGTATCTACAATTTTGCCAAAGATTAAAAAAAAAAAAAGAAAACCTGTCACAAATCTAAAAACGTGTTTTTGAAGTATCATATGGAGACAGCTCTTATCTCTGGGTGGTACAATAATTCCACAACACTAAAACTAACCTTTAGGTTCACTAAGAGGCACATAACTGACCTGGAACAAGTTAAATGGTAGGGAGCCAGAGAATAATTTCTTACATACTTAGTCCCATCCAAACGTTTGAAACAGTTATCTAGTTTTATAACAGGTCTCTCCTAAACCATGCTGGGATACAGTGGAACCATTAAGAACCTATATTTATGCTTGCTTTTGCCAACTTAAAATGTGTGATGGAAAACAGCCTACACGCTTTCACAACTAAACAGAGATCTTGTAGCTGAAGACAAATGCAGTGTAATATATGTACAATGGAGCGATTGTATTTAACAGTGATGACATTTGGAATTGAAAAATATAATATAAATTGGAATAAATGAGACTACCAATTGACAAATTATTAGTAACTTAAAAAGCATGCACATCCGCACATTATCTGCAGAGAAGCTCCTTTTAGTCTGGTTTTTGCAGATCATCATTGAATTTACAATAATATTCAGTCCATGTATTTGCCACATTTAGAAAATCATATTTGATGGATCACTGACTTTAAACAAATATAAACATTACCTACAGTAAATTGTTCACCAGAACAGTCTATTACATACTTGACACATTGCAGTGAGCTCCATTTTCCGCCTTAAGAATTTCTCCACATGTCCAATTGTTGCTTCTCCGGACACACGTACAAACTTTTTCTCCAGAGGCTAAAATATTGGACAGACAGTGGGTTTGTTTTGTTAAAATACATACAGATTGTTACTTTTAAAGCTGCTGTCACTCATTTGTGATGTATTGGCTGGTGTCTGAAGCGTCAGATGCTAAAGATTTTACCAGCGCTTCTAGCCTAATGAGAATGGAATTTTTTTTCTTTCTCCAGAGGCAGTAGAAGCACTGTCATTAAGATACATGTATACCAACAATACTGTCCCTTTAAAGGAGACATGACATAGGAGGAATACATGGGCTTCTTTTACCAACCTCCTCAACAATAGAACAAAGATTTAATTTACTGAAGTTGGTAATTAAAGTACAAATATCTTAAAGAGACACTATTGTTAACCAACGATGGCCCAGTATAACAGTGTGCCTTTAAAAGAGACATGCCATGGGAGAAATACATGGACTTACTGTCAACCTCCTCAGAACACTGCAATACTGATCCAGTAGCCTTCATTGTTTCTGAGTTACCCAAAAAAAGGAGGCAGTAAAGTCATAGTGAAGTTAAGACTTCTGATCAGTTTGAAAAAAAATAATTAAGCTGGAAAAATCAGCATAACAGTCAATTTCAGTAACGGCAGCTATCAGTGACAGGTTTTCTTTAAGAATTTAAAATGAAAGAAGGAAAAGCAGAGTTCACAAAAAGTTCGATTTACACAAAATCTGTTAGTTACTCCTTTGATATCTTGCACACAACACTCTTAAAAGGCAGAGCTTGTCATATTTAATGACACAGTCTCACTAATTATGAACATGACAACGGTTTTCCTCCAGCACCGATTTTCAGACATTTCAAGACTCAGATATGAATAATGAAAGAGACATTAAACATGCATGAAACTATTCTAAGCACAGCAGTGGCGAGAGAAAAAGAACACCAATAAAGACAGTGAGACAGCACTTTCTCACAAATGTTTCACTTCTCATTTTGAGCACTTTGCTATGGGGCTACAGAGGAGACAACTCGACAGTTCTTTCAGAAAGCAGATAAAAAGCAGAACCTCACTGTGCAGACTTCTTATTTTAAAAAGTGTCTCACCCCTTTTCTACAATGCTCGTATTGAAGATGTTGATCAAAGCGATGTCATTTTTGTTTCTTTGTTTAGTAGCTTGGTAACCTACAACATCCTTTAACAATGACTTAGTGACTTAAAGTGAACATGTGAGCCCTTTAAATGTCAGGTCAAACGGTAGGCATCATAAAGAGCTTAGCCCAATGGCCCCTTTCACACAGGGCAGACTCCATTTAGATCAAAAGGGGATCTGTCCACTGACCCCTGCTGATCAGATCAGGGCAGAGCAGGCGGATGCCAGTAACATACCCGCTCAGTTTATATAGAGCGGACAAGGACAGAGCCTACTCTGCTTAATGGGAGGCCGGGAGTAAACAGACAGCAGAGTCCTGTCTTCCGATCCAATTCTCTAACTTTTTTTTTTTTTTTTTTTGGACCAGATTGGAGGTAGGCAGGTGTAAATAGACAAAAGTCGGTTTACACCCATTGGTCTATATGGGTGAATGGACTGTCCGATCAGGTAAAAACCGACAGGCGGACCTGATGGGATCTTTCATGGGAAAGGGGCCTAAGATGAAGAACCAGTCACCTGCAACCCCCCTGTTCAATAATAACATTTTCGTACTCACCATCAAATCTTTTTCTTGGAGTCCACAGGGACATAGGAACGCAAAGATTTGGTTTATATTTTAGCCTACAGGAAGGTTGGACATAACCTCTTCTACTACTAGCATGCCTCAGTTTTGTAGTAAAGCAGTAGTGACAGCATGATTATAAATACAGAAGGGTGGGATCTGTGTCCCTCAAGGAGTTTATGACGAGCACAAAAAATGTCCTTGTCAATTGAGAGAAGTCTTAAAGTGTCATCAAACCCAGACTATGAAAAACTCTCATTACAAACTATATAAGAGTGTATAGGCTCCAGTGCAAAGAAAGAAATAAAAAATAAATAAATAAATGCATATATATATTTTTTTTACCTGCAAAAAAAAGTATGCAAATCAATGCAATTGCAGGATCCTGCAGACTCACAGTACATTTTCAGTGGCCGTGTAGGCAGAGCCATGCACAGCCATGCCGTTTTTAAATTGTGACAGCAGGAGCGGGAGGTATAATAAGGGGGAGAAGAGACAGGAGCTGGAACGTTACACATTCCACCCTAAATACAGATGGAACATGTAACATGTTCCAAAGGTGAACATTGCCTTTAAACATTTGTCTCTTAAGCGTAGAGAGTGAGACCCTACAGAGTCAAACAGGAATGGACTGGGGGGGAAATCACATTGAAGAGACCTTCAAAAGGTCTTACTGTGTGAGAGGCCAATGGTCTCTGAAATAGAAAACAAAAAAAAGCAGTGATGACCTTTGATAGTGCCACGAGAGTGAAATGTTGGTCTAGACCCAACTGCAGTTTGTCCTACTGAGACGTATCAGGTATGAAAGTATGCTTTCCATGTCCAATGATAGACCTTGGGAAAAAATTACTTCCAAGCCTTAAACACTGTAGGAATCACCGACTCAAAAAAGTTGTCCTTGTACCTTAAAACCAGGGCTTTAACAGCCATGCTGTTAAGTCATAAACCAACAAGAAGAATGGCAAATCAACCCTTGGGGATGGTAGATATGGATAGTCTGACAGGGCCCACAGTACTTCTTCCAAAGGTTTTGTCGTGTTTGAGCACCACATCCGCCTAGGCCAACTGTGGGCAATGAGGATCAGCAGAATGCCCTGCATCTCCATCTTGCAGCGCAGACAAGGAACAAAAAATTCACTGGATACTTGCACTTTGAAACAAATCTGTCCAGTTCGTTGTTGAACCTGATGGTCCACATCTTGAGCCCTCCACTTATTGCACAGGTCCTAGAATGCCTCTTAGTTCAAACACAGCTTTCCCGGGTTCAAATACAGCCACAAGAGAAATCTGTTAACAGTTAGTGTGATCCTTCTTCAGGTGTCCACATTAGTGCCTGCTTGACTTGGATACTTTATATTGGCTGTTCAGCAGATATGTCCTCTCAAGATCCAGAGGAGTAGGCATCAGCTGTGACGTCAGCATGAGGGGACTGTCGGAAACCAGCCAGCATGGTGACATATGCAGTGCTAGATTAGTCCCCTGCACCCAAAACCAGCACCGGCGAAGGAACCAAACATTGGACTTGAGTATATCTTTCTTCACAACAGAAGAAGAGGAATAAATCATGCAGGGTAGAACAGGGATTAAAATTTGCCTGAAAGCGAGTTTAAGTGCCGATTCACATATGTGTGGTGCGGATTTAAGCTCAGGTTTCACAGCTAATTGACACAGTAGCTGTTCAGTGGTTCAGGTCAGGTTTACATCAGGTTCAAGACAGGATCAGCTCAGGATTATCCTGTTCACACGTCAGGTTTAGAAACGGCTTCCATAGAAGTCAATAGCCTGTAATCCACACCTGAACTGGACCGGACTGCTCAGAACTCGTACATGACTCTTTTTTAAACTGCGCAGAATCTGCACCAGCAGTGTACCAGACATATGTGAACAAGCACCATAGGAAGCAATGTTATTTCACATGTCATGAGGATTGGATGCGGTTCAAACCGTATCCAATCCGCATATGTGTGAATGGACACTTAAGGTGAGATAAAGGCAGATCAACAGAGGGAATGGACCACTCCTGAACAAAAATCAGCACTAAATGGATATAAAGTCAGCAAGTGCTTAGGAGGAGCAAGCCACTTATCAGAGATGCTTCAAATTTTCAAAAAGAAATATCTGGAAAAGTGGGCACAAAGGAAAGGTCTCTGTAACCTTACAAGACCCAAAGAGGAGAGAGCACCAGTAGAAGCAATACGCAGATCATCAAACGTCAGGGGGGTGTGCACCATAACAATAAGAGCAGAAATATTCTCCTTTAACTTAGGAATAATAGCAGTAAAAACAACTCCTCAGGAGTAAGCACTTCCAACAAGGATTTGAATGACCCAGAATTTCAAAATCTCTTTGACCAAGGACTCAAAAGCATCTGCACAGATACAGAATCCATTTATGGCCCCTGTAATCAGGGTCAGAAAACAACTTGGTGATTTAACTCATTAATCACATGATCATAGTAAAAACCACAGGTGAGAGGGCAGAGAACCCAGCCACACCCAATAGAGTTATGGAGGACCCTGAGGGAGGAAGAGACTCCAACAGCAGAGGATAACACAACTTCAGGCTGCAGACATCAACACCCTCAGTAGGCACACTGCAAGTATCCACTAAAAATGTTAACAGAAAGAGAGCTGGGAGCATTAGCTACAGCAGGCCTGTCCCCACTGTGTCTACAATCAGACACGTTGCAGCCACAATGTGGACAGGAAACATGCAGGGCTCAAGGTAGAGATGTAAGGCCTTAAGTACTCACAAAACCCAAACAGTTGGTGGCAGGTGTGGGTATAGGACTGGAGGATCAGAAGACCGAAGGTGACCAAAGTCACTGTAGGCTGGCAGCAGTAATGGATAGAACAGCCATAAGCCTCTTTGCAACAGGAAAAGCAGCAAGAAGATGCTTCTGGCAGGAAAGAGTGCAGAACATGCGTAAAATTCCACATAGCAGATGACATTAGCACCCCGAACCACATTGTTGACCATTTCCAAAGCAAAATTGACAGGAAATGGGAAAAGGGGTGCTGAGTGATCTATAAAAATGAGCGAGCTCCCAAAGCTCAGCACAAGTGGCCAGGTCACTAAATGAGTCTTCAGAAAATGGGCAAGCACAGAGGCAACATCAATAGCTTTGGACCTGAAAAATGCTCCACAGCTAATAACTACCAAAATGTCATTTCTAGGCTAGCGGATTTCAGATGCAATAAGATCAAAAAACCAGGCTGAGAACAACCACAGATAGCTGCAAACTGGAGGGGAAACCTCTAGCAGTGTAGTAGTGAACAGTCTTGATTGAAACAAAAAAAAAAAAAAAATGAAAGCATTTCTAGAAAATAAAATTAATGG